GTAGTTTATTTGATATCATTTTTTTGAAAATCGAACACTTAACCTGCTCATAGGGGGGGACTTAAAATTGCAACTTTTTTACAAAAACTAACTTTTTCAACTTAATTTTTGAAAATGTTCCGGAAATACTGCGTCCTTTAAACATATATCAAATTAAAGCTTATTTTATGTACTATAAAATGAAAAAAAAAATTTGTCCCGACACCTTATCTTCTATGTGCAAATGGCTATCGTATTCAAAAATATGCTATTTTTGTATTAAAATCCTGGGTTTTGTATTTTATTTTATTTTAAAATATCTTATAAGAGCAAAACACTGACATTAATGAATACGTATTTTATAATTTAATTGACAAAGAATGAAGTTCATAAGACATAAGAAATTAAACTTATTAAAATTTTTTTATTTTTTTAAAGTCGAAAAAGTAATTTTTTAAGTTGAGTTAGCTTAAATAGCCAATTTATCAAGCGACGAAAGCAACAAACAATTGCTGAGTCGGTAATACTTGCGTCATTCATGCTTACGGTACAAGGTTTAAATCCGTCCGTGTCTATTAATATTTTGCATTTTTTTTGAGTTAGAATAAAATTTTCAAATTATTTGATATTTATTTCATTTAGATTCAATTAATCAATAAATATAAAGGATCCTATCACTATAGTCTCCCCTTGTGAGAAGAAATTTATATTCATGTTAATATTATTTTACTATGTGGTTTTTTTGTAACTACGATTTATTTTGCTAACCCTCACTAGACCTACTATTTCAACGTCAAATGATTACAATTCGTATTTAGTTTAAGTTATTACTCTTAAAAATCGAACAAATTTTCCTTATTCCAAAAAAAAGTAGCTAAACCAGCTTTTACCATACAAACAATTAAAATCATTAATTTCTAATATTCTTAAAGTATTCATTGTCGAATTAGATTTGATATGATAACAGTATTTAACTACAAAAATAAATTATTTTACTTTGTAATTTATTAATTTTTTAACTTTATTTGTGTGTGCTACTACCAGTCTATAATATTCCAAATTTTTTTGTATATGTTGCTATATAAATCGTAAATTAAAAAAAAAAAATGAATTTTAATTTCACCTGAATTTAACGATGGATTTTTACAATTATAATTAAATTGTATAATACGCTCAATTGAGTAAATCTTTCTAGCAACTTTTTTTTTATTGGGTTTTTTTAGATATATAATAATTAAAATTAATTAAATTCTGAATATTTCCATTGTAGAATTTTTTTTAAACACCAAAAGTTAATTAGAAATGATTACTATGATTTTTATTTAAGTGATCTATTTCGATAAAAATGTAAAAAAATCTAACTTTTCTGATAAGTGTACTGTAAATAGTAATTATAAAATTCCCTGATTGCATATTAATTTTAACACTTTAATTTTTTCCATTTAATAATATCAATTTCAAACTTGTAAGTTGAGCTAAAAGTTATGGTAATAAATTCATTTTTTTTTTATTATAAACATTCAATTTAAAGGTCGAAATAAAGAAGGTTAAAAATTATTACTTTTATCATATTAAAAATCAATATCAATAATAATTTGAAAACAATTCAATATAAAAATTATATAATATATAATTAAAAGAATTACTAATCTGGGTATAATTAAGGAAATAGAAGTTGATGTTGCTTGTAATTATCCATCATTTTTTTAGAATTAAACACTATCTACAGATTTGCATCGGAGCGTTTCTTATGATAGTGATTTTAATCACTGTCAGATTAAATCTACACTGGACCCAACTATGCAACATCTCCACTATGCCCCGACCCCACTGTGCTGAGTTTTTTTTTCAATAATATTAAATAGATTTGTAACATACACTAACAAATTAGTACAAGTTGATTTTTTGGTACAAAAATCGTGTTGTTCATCAATTGTAATACTAATAAACATATAAGATAATTTTGCTTCAATCAATTTTTCAAAAAATTTCAGTATTGAGCTTAAATTTAAAATGGGAGAAAAATTTTTTATTAAATTACGATTGACAGTTTTAAAGACTGGAATTACAAAACTAGATTTCCATAATTGAGGAAAAATACCACGAGAAAGGTACATATTAAAAAAAATGTGGATTGGAAGGCGAGGGCGTAACAACATTTAGATAAAACAATTGGGGGTAATTTATCTGTGCATTTAAAAGTGCAGTCTTTATCCATATTTGATGATAGACCTTCAAAAACATCAGATAAGGGTATATACAGAGACGAGGTATTTATTAAAAATTCAGTAAAAATATCAGTAGTATCATAGATACTATCATAGATACTATATATTAATATTTTTCAAGGCCATTGAAATATCTATAAAGTTTGCTTTATTAAAATTTTTCTTTATTAATGGTAATCTAAGTTGAATTTTTGTACCTTTTAATTCAAAATTTATATGAAGCGGAGGGTGAGGTTTATCAATAGGAAATAAAGGGCTAGTGCATAATTTAACACTTAATAAATCAAAATTAGAAAAACTAGGTCTAGTGTATTGCCATTGGGATTACAGAAGGAATTAAACTGTGACAAATTGCATATTGAGAATTCGTCAAAAACTACATTGACTGTCGCAGGCATGCGGCCACCAACAATTAAACCAGTACTGTCATATGAAAACGTAGTACCTCGAAAATTATAGTTCCTACAGATAATTAAATCTATATTATCTCCGAAGCTTTCAAAAAGCAATTTAACTGTATTCACGTGAGTTTCATGTACCGATAAAGGACTGACCTCTTGAATACAACAAGTGCCGATAATCAATTTTATCATGTTATTGGTTTTAATAGATACGAAAACTTATTCTACTGAATCGTAAGGAGTTGTAATCAACTCACTTTTATATTTTCTATGTATGCCAATCAGTACTTTACCACCTCGATCACATTTACTCGTCAAACCACTTCTTTCACATCGGAAAATATTGTAATTAACGATACCTAATTCTGAATCTTATATATCAGCATTCAGCCAAGTTTCGGTAAAAATTATAAAATCATAGTTATTATATGGAAATGTTCCAACAGGTCATAAATTTTAGTTTGTTATTAAGACTTCTTACATTTTGATAATAACCTAATAAATTATTATTTTTCTTAAAATTAGATATATTTACATTGTTAAGGTTTGGTTTATCTGCAGTTGATGCAGTTATTTTCCTCAGATTTTTCAACCAGAGTGGTAGCATCATCGATAAACTTGATAAACTATTCTTTATCGCACGAGTGTTTCTTCGCATTTAATTGACATTTAGCTTCATTGTATTGTAGTAATACAAAAAATAAGCAAAAAACGGTGAATGGGGAATTTTATTTGACCAAGGTTGGATGTTAGGAATTTGGTCAATTCAGGAGCAACGAGGTTCTATCGAGGTAGTAGAGTCCGAGGGTTTAGAACAGTAAAGACAAGTAGATATAAAAAGATACAAATTAAGTTCCTCTCATAGAGGTATTAAAACGCTGAGGTATACTTGTAGTGGCCGGGGTCTTGGCCTCCTATCTGACACCCAGTCGAAGCGTGATGTTAACTGGTATGTGCTTTAGTGGAAATACTGAGGCGTTCATGGAGTGGCGGAGGCCTCCTCTCAGACACCCAGTCGAAGTATATGACCAAGCACTAACTAGTTATTAATAATTAAATTAAATGAGGTTTAAAAAATCTATTGCTTTACCATTCTTTACTCAAATTATTAATTCTAAATAATTGGGTTAATATAAATTTACTTACTTCTTTTATATATCTCACGTTCAGATTTATACTTTTCCTTATTAATAAATAAATAACGTATTGACGCAAAAATAATTGTACTTGAAATCGCTATAAAATATACCGACGACAACACGGGGTCGCGGCTAGTTTGTTCAAAATAAATCAAATAGAAGAATCCTGAATTCTTTATTGAATTCAAATCTTCAAAAAGAAGAGAGAATTCTGCTCTCTTAGAAAATCAGCGCCTTTTTATATTACTTTTAATTACCCCCATCATGGGTTGTTGCCGTCAGCGCTTTTAGTGATCAATTAGTAATCAATTTAACATGTATATACATATATAATAGCTATTGTACAAGTGTGTATATGTTATGACAGATAAATTAATTATTTGTGTTGTATACAATTGGTAGTAAATATAGAGTAGTAATTTTTTATTGATAATGTAAGATGCGTAATGCAGAACATTGTGCATATTACGACAGTATTGAGTCCGTTGTGTTATTGTCAAGTCCATACCAATAAATATATGTTTAAGTGAGTCGATTTCACGTAGTTTCCGTTTGGTTTTTAAAACTGATAACATTTCAGATTTACTTCCAAGTTTAACCTTTATAGGACGAGGTTTTTCTGAATTTTTACCCAAACGAGAGGCATGAATAATCGGTATATTTAAATCAATTTTTTTAAAAATTTTTTGAGTTAATTTTGCCGGAGATAACTCCCTATTATTTAGTTCTTCTTCAGCGTTGAAAATAAGAATGTTATTTGATTTTATTATATGTTCCTGCAATTCACGAATTAAAGTCTAACATAATTTCTCGACAGTATATTCGACCGATGTATATCCAACAAAAGTAAAAAGTGTTTTTTATTCGTAAGCTACCGATTACTGCCTTTACAAAGACCTCACTTAATAGACCGACTCTTGAATAAGTATAACGTACTAAAGACTAAAATATTTTAATAACATCTTTCAACTTTTTTTCTATTAATCAAATATTACTCGTGTTTTTTTTTATTTTATATCAATTATTATATAATTACGTTTTTTATTATAGCAAATTTGGTTATAATATGTTGTAACATCTTTTACTTATTAGAGTCATCATTTTGAAACTTAATCATTTATTTATTGTATGTATTTCTAAATATGGTATTTTTTTAGGATTTTAAATTATTGCAGTTTTTGTTATATAAATTCTAAGTTCAAAGTTTCAAAATTTAAAACATCAGAAGCTCGTTTTTTTTTTTTTAGATGACATATTTAATGGTGATGTTTGTATAATTTGTCATGGTGAAAATATAGAATTAGGGTCATTTAATAACTGTGTACACAAAATATGTAATGAATGTTCAAAAACAATGCGTTTAAATTATGTTTGTGAATGTCCAATATGCCAAAAAGAAAATACCGAAGGCATTGGTGTTCGTAAGTATCTATTCTTTGACACGACTTACGTCGCAAAAATGTGGTCGACACTGGTTTTGAAGTTAGAGACCCGTGGACCGTTTATTAAATGAGCGACAACAGGTTATTTTAACAAAAAATAAACAAACCGAAAAGATAAACACTGTAATAATTATCTTCGCATAATATCGCGGCACTTTCGCTGGCGTCGACGACGTGATGTCCGGCGTAATCCTTGGGCGACAAAAGGTTAGCAGCGTTATAGGCAACGGTGCGCGGGTGCGGATCGGTTGGTCGACGTTGTCACTTTCACAACGGGGAGAAGACTCCCGTATCATTTGCGGCGGGGCGTCGTCGGCCGTGCGGCACTTGCTGTACTTTGCATCGTAGCGTATAACACGCGGTGTTGGTCAGTCAAGTACTCATAGTAGGGCGACGGCTGATAAAGGTGGCACGAGTCGCGGGGCATCGTGTATAACGAAGCGACGCGGGCCGTGTCATCTTATAAATTAATAAATATGTATGAACAAGGGCCTGATAGAAAGTACACTTATATAAAATATGAACAATTTCATTAAAGGTGTTTGGTAGAGAAAGCATTTATGAGATACCTAGTGGACTAGTTGTCACAAATAGTTGATTATATTATAACGTGTGATAGCTGATCTCTAGCGTCTTTGTTTTACATACCCCCTTGCCCATCCAGCAAGGAAAGTAGATGGCCTAGATGTCAATTTTTATGCGTCATTATTTTTTTGTAGCAAGCGCCCTTCGCTTAGAATACCAATTTAACGAGCATTGTACATCATGTTTAGTTTCTATGCGAAGCTGAGAAGTTATTAATTTTACAATGATGCTTTTTTCTTTCTTTCAACAATACATCAAGAACAGAGGTGTCGTGGAGCGTATACGCGGGTTTACGGCGTATACCCATTTCTTTGTTTTTCTGTTAATGCGTATACTTATAAAATCATGAGTTATACACGGGTATACGGCGTATACCCACTGTTTTCTTATTAGTGCATATACGTATTTATAAAATAGTTAGAGTATAGACTAAAGAATAAAATAAAAAGTAATACGTGGGTATCGAATATAGGTATGTTTGTCATAAAACACAAATTTTGAATAACTATTATCAGTTTGTTTAATCTCTACAGTCATACCACATATAAACATATATCTGAAGTTATAAACACACAAATATGGCTCGAGACTATTATCATTTTAAAAATAGAATATAAATGTAAAACAAAACACTGTCAAAGTGTATAAATAAATATCAATAAAATAAATAGGATAATGTTTATAATTTCACGACAATTTTATTGACATTTGACAAAATTTAAAACATCGACCAGAAATTAACGATATAGCACATACTAAGTTGAAACTGAAAGTTATTGAGTTAACCTATAGCTGTTGAAATTGGTAATTTGTATTTTCCCGTAATAAACCGTTTACCAACCAATCTAGTATTTAATATATTACCTATGATGAATTAAGATAGTGCTAACATGTACCCATTCACGTTTATTTCATTTATGTTTTAACGATTTGAAAACAATGATTGTAAGATTATTTTATTACTGCATAAAGTTTATTGTTTATTTACAAAAAATATAACAGTATCTAATAATACACTTATCGATTATATGACTATGAAATTTAGTTTATGTAAGAACTTAGAAGTGTCAGTAAAAATATTCGAGTAATAGTTGAAAGTTGGAAGGAGCAAGGCTGTACCTGGGAGGGTTAGGAGTTTTAGTTGCATTATGTAATAATTAGAAAATACATATTTTTAACACAGATAAAACATCACAATATTTGTATTCCGTCCCCCAAAACTATGTTATAGTTAAGGTCTTTGAAAAGTAGTGTGGGGGTAAAATTCCCCACGTTTCCTCATTTAGGTATTTAACTTATCTATTGATCAAATTACGACTATATCACTGTTGATAATGTATAAAATTAAAAGTTCAACAAAATAATTGTGAAATATTGTATGTAGAAAATATAAATTGCATGGGGGGNCTATTGTATGTAGAAAATATAAACTGCAATGAGGGTGGTGGGGTGGACGAAGCCCCCACGTTATTATCTATTCATAATATAGGCGTATACCCATAAACATTTTTAGGACTACACCACTGATCAAGAGATCATAAATCGTATCTAGTCGAAGTCATTACCCTCAAAAATTGAAAAAATTTCCTCGTAAATAGTGAAAAACCCACAAAAAAATACAAATTTAAGATCACTAATTTTCGATTTTCTTTACTTAAAACTGCCATAATTTTTTCAAAAATGACCGAATCAATATATTTTTTTTAATGATACATCAGTTAGTTATCTATCATTTCATATCATTTTTTTATAAATCTAACAGTTGACCTGACCACAAGAGAGGATACAAAATCATAACTTTTTCAACTTGATTTTTGTTAGCGTTTGAAAATACTGAAACTTTTATAAAAATATATTAAATTAAAGCTTATTTAATGCACTTTAATATATAGAAAAAAAACAATTTCGGACATTATTTTGTTTTTATGGTGAAAACAGACATCAAAATTAGTAAAAAAATACGATTATTGTATTCAAATTTTTTTCATATTTTTAACTTTATAATGCTATAACTTTTTGAAAATGTATGGATGACTACAATTTTTTTATGGTGAATAATATTTATATACCTATTATATTCGACATACTTTTTTTTGTTAAATCGGACTATTTCTTTTTATATATATATTCATATATTACACTTATAAATCATAAAACTTGTAATCAGAATATAGGAATATATGGAAATAAGAGATAATATAGCTTTTGAATAGTCCACCAATTTTTAAAATTAAACATTATAGATTTGCATCGAAGAGTTTTTTATGATAGTGATTTTAATCACTGTCAGATATCATCAATACTGGACCCAACTATGCCACGACCCCACTGTGCTGGTTTTTTTAAAATAAAAATATGTTGTAAAGAATAATACATTAATCAATAATCTAACTAAGCCATGATTCTTTCTACTCTAATGGGTTTTTTTTTTAATTGTTTGTTGCACCCTTGTGCTTAAACTTCTCGTACCTTTTCACGCTTCCAGTAATTGAGCCTTGATCTAAGTAATTTCACTGCCATAATCTCTTTTCCATCGTCTTATTTTATCCGCCATCACGTGTCTGAACTACACTCTGACCTGTGATGCTTAGATATTCAACACAATTACTACAAGATCTCAAACAGTCCGTTCACCCTTATCAACAACTGAATTTATTCAGTGAAGTTATGCATTACTTTTTAATATTACTTATTATTTGATGTTATGGGTAATCGTGTCAAGTGGAAATTTTATATTTTATTTTAAATAATATTTAATCTTCTTCTTCTTACTCGACTTAATCCCAACTACTTGGGGTTGGCCACTCTTATCCTAAATTTCTCCTTAACACGATCTCCTACATTCTCAACTCTATTTTACTAAATAAAATAATATTTAATAATAATTTTTTTCGGCATTTTTAAAAGAAACCAAAACTAATAATTTGGGACCGCATATAATTAATGCTTCAACATGTAGTATGATTTAACACTGTTAACATTATGATAGGTTGAGGATATCACTAATGTAAATATTAGTTATTCATATAAACGTTAGAATTTTAAATTTATACTTTGAATATTTTTTCTTTGGGACGATAAAAAATGAATAAATAGAGTTTTATCCATATTTTTCATGAAACGTCATAATTTAGTATTCTAAATTTCACAATTTCTGAATGCGGCTCTATTTATTTTTTATGAATATATTAATAATACATGGATATTTTTAAAACCAAATACTGATAATATATGTTACACTTGTGGAAATGAACCAGTAACAGTAGACATTGGTTGTATAAATAATCACATGACGGGTAATAATTGTGCTTATAGAGCGATTAATGTCTTACAATTGCCCTATAATTGTCTATACTGTAACAACGGTACCCTTGGTTACAAAAATGTCCGTAAGTATAATTAATTANATCGATATTAACAGGTACACAGCATTGTTATTATCAATGGTAGTAAGGCACATTGTTGTGAGTTAATAAATACACTAACTGACAATACAGAAAGTATATGTATTGATAGTCATAATTGATAATAAACAATCCGTGATTGTGATAGCAATATCATAAAAAATCAATTAGCTACCTGTATTTGTAATCCCTTGTGTATTATACCTATATATTAACTCAAAAATTTGAAACTTTAAATGTTTATATCTAATAAACGAATAAAGTTATACTAAAAATTCAAATGCTATTTACTATTGAATTAAAAATCCAAACATTTTATTAAATTAAAAATATGTTTTCCCATTTAAAAAACAAAGTTGACATTTACCAGGCATAAGTGATGAGTTTAAAAAGTATTACATAGTTAATAATTCAAGAGTAATGCGTAACTATAGATAACAAAAAAATGTGTAAATAAATATATTCTGCATGTAATTGAGTGGATTAAGAAAAAAAATCACCCTGTATATATATATTTAATATATATAATTTATATAATATATTTTATTATTCAAAATATTTTAATTATTTTATTTATTTATTTTACCACCATAAAGAGTGATTCACTTATCATCAAACACTTAATTTATCGAAAATAAAAATAATATTAATAGTTTTTTTATTTGTTTCTTTTAGTTAAACAATTTTCTCAATTTTTCAATCATAAAGTTTTTTTATGTTTATCTTCTGTACATTATAAGGTTGTCAAATTTAATTTTCAGGCTTTAACCTAGATTTAAATATGTCATTAAGTTCTGAAATTATTCTGTATAGTAGCCATGAGATTATTGTGGCTAAGATATATAGGTTAAGATAGGTTGACCTACAAAGAGTCACTCTTTTAACGCTAGATACTCCATTTCTCTTAAAATAATATTTTTGGGGGGTTTTGTTAGTTACATATATAATTCCATTTATCTGCTATAAAATATTTTTATGTACATCCAGTAC